AACAACCAATAAAAATAATATTATGTTCATGTCTATGTCTATAAAAAAAACTATCTTTTATTTATTTAGGAGAAAATCAGGGAGGGGGATATTGTGGTTAGATAAAAACTTCCCTTTTTTTAAACCATCACAAAGAGTACTTAAAATTTCAATTATTATATATTATTGTTTTAAAATCTGATTTTCATTTTGTTGAATGGGTACACAATACAATAGCTATTAAGTTGATAAATATTAAAGTTTTGATTCATTTATTTTAAAGATCAACTATTCAATTAATGATTTACTAGTTCATGCACATCTCTGGTTATTTTACTTCCTTGTTTCTTGTGAAAATTTCAATTTCAGGTGTTAATTACTTGCTGAAATAAAAAAACAGACAGGAAATATAGTGTTATGTTTAGTATGTATGTAACTACAGAACTTGTTCTGTGAAGTGTTAATTATACAAAACCAGGAAGGCATTTTTGTCAATGATATTTTCTATAAAGTTGCATTACTATCAGTACTGGTACATATCAGGCCCTGCCCCTAGGTTATGGTCCAGCAACTTTCAGTTTTAATAAGCTATTTCCAATGTACCTGCTTAAGTTAGTTTGATAGGAACTACTTATGATAGATCAATGATATTTTCTTTAAAATTGTATTACTATCATTACATGTCAGTTTGACTCCTATCTCAAGGCCCAGCCTCCCCCCCCCCAGGTCATGGTCCAGTGACTTTGAATTAATTAGCAATTTTTCAATGTTAAGTTTTCTGCTTAAATCAGTTTGATAGGATCTACTTGTGGTAGATCAATGATATTTTGTATGAAGTTGCACTTCTATAAGGACAAATCAGTTTGATGTCTATTTTGAGGCCCTGCCCTCTATGTCATGGTCCAGTGACTTTTAATTAATTAACAATGTTGCTGTCCATCAGATTGTCTTTTTCTGAATTTTCTGTTGACAGGCGAGACATATTTCTGTGTCAACAGTTTGGTATGGAAGTTATCATTCCCCACCCAAAAAGATATATGGCATAAAGTGTTCAGTATGGCCTAACCCTTACCATATGATTTCACATATGTGTAGAATTAAAAATAGATAATTTACATGAATAGAATTACATCCTGTAATAACAAAAAAGAATGGCCCTTGAAGGTGTCGCCTGCTGGGTATGACTTGTTTACATCATGATACATTTTGTATTATGGAATTTAATATAATAAATCATGATAGATGCAGGATATACTATAAAATTTAAAGATATTGTGAATATGTACTAGTGTGCAAATAATATAAGTAGATAATGTTTATACATGGTGGTTGACTTAAGTTTTTAACCTTGTATATCAGATAATATTGAATTGAGAAATAACCTTAAAAGATTAATCATAATTCTGACCTCCTTATTTTACTTGGATATCATTGTGTCGCCTGCTGGGTATGACTTGTTTACATCATGAAACATTTTGTATTATGGAATTTAATATAATAACTTTTAATAATTTTGAAAAAAAGGAGGGTTCAAATTCAACATTATTTGAGGTTAAATCATGATAGATGCAGGATATACTATAAAATTTAAAGATATTGTGAATATGTACTAGTGTGCAGATAATATAAGTAGATAATGTTTATACATGGTGGTTGACTTAAGTTTTTAACCTTGTATATCAGATGATATTGAATTGAGAAATAACCTTAAAAGATTAATCATGATTTTGACCTCTTTATTTTACTTGGATATGTTTTACAGATCTATTTGCTGTCCTATTTATCTTACTTCTCCTTCAGAATCTGTGCATATCTTAAATCACATGGGTAAGAGTTACTCTCTTTTCTCCTTTTAGATCCAAGGGTTAACTGGGTTTTAGAAATATGGACTGTTTTTACTCTTTGGTCGGGTTGTTGTCTCTTTGACACATTCCCCATTTCCATTCTCTATTTTATTGCTTACACTAATCTCTCATCTGACAGTAAACCCACTTAAAGAGGGCATCCATTTTGCTGTGCAGAATGTATATTGTATGTATGGTTAGAACAGGTCTCTTAAGTATGATGCCTCATATAGGGAGATTGACACATTTTCTGCACATTTAGGAATTTCTGCACCAATTCACAACTCTTCTGAGAGTTCTGTAGGTCAGGCCTATAGCAAGGCCAATGTCTGCCCATATCCAACATACTGTAGGTAAGGCCTATAGCAAAGCCAATGTCAGCCCATATCCAACATACTGTAGGTAAGGCCTATAGCAAGGCCAATGTCTGCCCATATCCAAAATATACTGTAGGTAAGGCCTATAGCAAGGCTAATGTCAGCCCATATCCAACATACTGTAGGTAAGGCCTATAGCAAGGCCAATGTCAGCCCATATCCAACATACTGTAGGTAAGGCCTATAGCAAGTCCAATGTCTGCCCATATCCAACATACTATAGGTAAGGCCTATAGCAAGGCCAATGTCTGCCCATATCCAACATACTGTAGGTAAGGCCTATAGCAAGGCTAATGTCAACCCATATCCAACATACTGTAGGTAAGGCCTATAGCAAGGCCAATGTCAGCCCATATCCAACATACTGTAGGTAAGGCCTATAGCAAGTCCAATGTCAGCCCATATCCAACATACTATAGGTAAGGCCTATAGCAAGTCCAATGTCAGCCCATATCCAACATACTATAGGTAAGGCCTATAGCAAGGCAAATGTCAGCCCATATCCAACATACTATAGGTAAGGCCTATAGCAAGTCCAATGTCTGCCCATACCCAACATACTGTAGGTAAGGCCTATAGCAAGGCTAATGTCAGCCCATATCCAACATACTATAGGTAAGGCCTATAGCAAGTCCAATGTCTGCCCATATCCAACATACTGTAGGTAAGGCCTATAGCAAGTCCAATGTCTGCCCATATCCAACATACTGTAGGTAAGGCCTATAGCAAGTCCAATGTCTGCCCATATCCAACATACTGTAGGTAAGGCCTATAGCAAGTCCAATGTCTGCCCATATCCAACATACTGTAGGTAAGGCCTATAGCAAGTCCAATGTCTGCCCATATCCAACATACTGTAGGTAAGGCCTATAGCAAGTCCAATGTCTGCCCATATCCAACATACTGTAGGTAAGGCCTATAGCAAGGCCAATGTCTGCCCATATCCAACATACTGTAGGTAAGGCCTATAGCAAGTCCAATGTCAGCCCATATCCAACATACTGTAGGTAAGGCCTATAGCAAGGCCAATGTCAGCCCATATCCAACATACTGTAGGTAAGGCCTATAGCAAGGCCAATGTCTGACCATATCCAACATACTGTAGGTAAGGCCTATAGCAAGTCCAATGTCAGCCCATATCCAACATACTGTAGGTAAGGCCTATAGCAAGTCCAATGTCAGCCCATATCCAACATACTGTAGGTAAGGCCTATAGCAAGTCCAATGTCAGCCCATATCCAACATACTGTAGGTAAGGCCTATAGCAAGGCCAATGTCAGCCCATATCCAACATACTATAGGTAAGGCCTATAGCAAGGCCAATGTCTGCCCATACCCAACATACTGTAGGTAAGGCCTATAGCAAGGCCAATGTCTGCCCATACCCAACATACTGTAGGTAAGGCCTATAGCAAGGCCAATGTCAGCCCATATCCAACATACTATAGGTAAGGCCTATAGCAAGGCCAATGTCAGCCCATATCCAACAGGCCTATAGCAAGTCCAATGTCAGCCCATATCCAACGTACTGTAGGTAAGGCCTATAGCAAGGCCAATGTCGGCCCATATCCAACATACTGTAGGTAAGGCCTATAGCAAGGCCAATGTCGGCCCATATCCAACATACTGTAGGTAAGGCCTATAGCAAGTCCAATGTCAGCCCATATCCAACATACCCTCATTTCTAGTGGCAGCCATAATACACCTTATCACTATTTGTTCGCCATTACTGGACATCACAAAGGTTCCCGTAAAATGTTGACGTCATAATGGAAAATGTCTGACGCCACAAAGGAAAAGTGATTGATGTATAACGTAAATAGTTCCAGTGGTGCAGATTCCCAAATAGCGATAAGGTCTGTTCCAATAGAACTATAGCCCAACACAAAACAAAATGAAAATTTAAAAAAATGGCATCACTAAGGTTATACAGAATGAAGACATTACTGTAAATTCAGAAATTAATGGGAGGTCTATGAAACTCATTGTTGTATCAATTTCTTCTTTATGAAAATAAAAAGGTCAATTGGAAGGCTCATTTTATTAAATTTTTATTATGTCCTTTGGCCTATTGAAGCTGGTTCTCATTACATGTTACGGTGTGGATGCATCTGGCCTGGTACCATTTGGAGTTCATGAGATGACCTTTGGTTGTTTTGAACATAGGTAAGGGAGCTACCATTTGATTTTTATGGGAGGGCTAACTAAGGATGAAATTTGAAAAGAAAAAGGCAGGACAGGAGTTTTGAGTAAAAAAAAAAGGCAGGATGAGCAACTTGGCAAAAAAAAAAAGGCAGGATGAAAATTTATGTAAAAAAAGTCAGGATAAACTAATAAAAAAAAGGCAGGACCGAATAGAGTGAAAAATAAAAAGCAGGACAGAGATTACAACTAAAAAAAAAATGCAGGACAAAATTTTTCATCCTAGCCCCCCCATAAAAATCAAATGGTAGCTCCCTAAACTGCAGTTATTCTGTCTTATTGAAAAATGGGGTATTCTGAATGACAAAGAAATGATAGTCACTATGTGTTGTTGTCATGAAAGAAAATTTCCTTCATAATTAAAGTTTCAAAAGGGGAAAATATTCTGGATTATTATTTCCACTGGAAAAAAAATTTACAGAATTTGTTCCAAAGGAATAAACAGTATAGAATATATGTTCCAACAGGAACTGATATCATGGAATTGTTTATGACGAACAGTCCAGGGAAACTTTTGTCAGACAGAAAATATATTGGACACTGGGTGGTCACTAATATTATGTCAAACTAACTTTAAGGCTTTATTTCTTTTTCAGAGTGCTGATGAGAAACTGAAAAGTCTAGGCTCTAAACATCACCATGGAAACAAGACATCAGGACAGCAGATAAGAGGATCAAAATCTAGCCTAGCATCAAATACAGAGTCCATAAACCAAACTAAAACACAGACAAACAAAGCACAGCCACCGCCAACACCAACACCCTCGATAGAATCTACTCAGCTAGAAACAGTAGCAGGTCAGATTGACAAGGGCTTTAGAGCTTACATGTTATATTGCATAGATACCTGCTTCTTGCTTAAAACTGTATGTAACCCTCTAGATGTCCTTTATAACAATAAAAAGATGTGGTATGATTGCCAATGAGAAAGCTATACGCCAGAGACCAAATGACACAGAAATTAACAACTATAGGTCACCGTAAGGCCTCAACAATGAGCAAAGCCCATACCGCATAGTCAGCTATAAAAGGCCCCAAAATGACTAGTGTAAAACAATTCAAACAGGAAAACCAACAGTCTAATCTATATAAAAAATGAGAAACACTTATGAACCACACCTACAAACGACAACCACTGAACAACAGGCTCCTGACTTAGGACAGATGCATAAAAATGCAGCGGGTTTTAAACGTTTAAACAGGTGCAAACCTTTACCCTAGATACCTGTTATTGTTCAAAACTGTATGTTACCCTTTATAACAATAAGAAGATGTGGTATGATTGCCAATGAGAAAGCTATACACCAGAGACCAAACAATATTGATGTAAGAAACTATAGGTCAACATTATAAAAGGACCTGATATGACAAAATGTGGTACAATTCAACAGGAAAACCAAACAAATTTTATGTTTTGCCTTGACAGAGTCAAAAAGCATGACTAAAGTATAATGTTTCCAGCGCTAGTGTCAACATTTTTGTGATAAGGTCAGTTTCAGGGGAAACACTAGAGGAAAATCAATGAAATTCGATATTCAATTGTATAAGCATTGGCACATCTCATTTCTATGAAGATAATTTGGCCGCCCCCTCAGTCATGGTCTACTAACTATGAAACTTTTTCATAATTTACATGTTAAAGTTTGTGATTAGTTATAGAAATAAGAAGATGTGGTATGATTGCCAATGAGACAACTCTCCACAAGAGACCAAATGACACAGAAATTAACAACTATAGGTCACTGTACGGCCTTCAACAATGAGCAAAGCCCATACCGCATAGTCAGCTATTAAAGGCCCCAAAATTACAAATGTAAAACAATTCAAACGAGAAAACTAACGGCCTAATTTATGTACAAAATAATGAACGAAAAACAAATATGTTACACAGCAACAAATGACAACCACTGAATTACAGGCTCCTGACTTGGGACAGGCACAGACAGAATGTGGAGGGGTTAAACTTTTTTGAAGGCGCCAACCCTCCCCCTAACCATGGACAGTGGTGTAACAGTAAAACATAAGAACAAACTATAAAAATCATCTGGAAAAGGATTAACTCATCACATGGATACAAATAGAAATACATCTAACAAAAACACAGAGTGGACGTGGATGGGTACTTGTACATCCACACAACAGAAAGACACTTTTAAAAGTGCAGATCTGAGAGTACTTGCAGTTACTGACAGCTAGTGGAAAGCCAATAACAACTAATGAAAAAAATCATGCATCTAAGACTAAAATATCAATCAGTACACATCCAACCTCCAATGTATTTAGTGTAAAGACGTCATAAACAGTCGGAGAAAAACATGGCTTTGTGTCAGTTTAAGAGGAACCACTTATGATAAGTCTTTGATATTTTGTATGCAGTTATATAAGCATTGGCATATCTCATTTCCATAGAGATTAGTTGGCCCTGCTGCCTCAGTCATGGTCTATTGACTTTGAAACTTTTGCATATTTAACATGTTTAAGTTTGTGATAACAACTGCATATCAGATATCATTGATATGACATCATAAGTTGCTCAACAATATTTGGTATGTAGAGGTACTGTGAATTCATTTATTTTTGTGGGTACCAGTTTTCGTGGATTGAGGAAAACTTTCGTTTTCGTGGATATTTGATTTCATAGTTTTGCCAAAGTCTGCATATATTCCTTTAGAAAATTTGTAATTCGTTGGACATTGGAATTTATGGTTCCCAGGTAACCACGAAATCCACGAAATTGGTATCCAACGAATAATAACAATTCCACAGTACAAGCATTGACATATCTTATTTCCAGTGATATTATTTGGCTCTGTACCTTCAGTCATGGTTCATTGACTTTAAGTATTTTGCACAATTTACATGTTGAAGGATTGCTATTTTAATTTCAACATTTGCATTTAACTATCAAAGTAACAAAGAGGCCAGACATATCTCTGTGTCAACAGTTTATCTATAGTATGGGCTAGTTGACACATACCTACCGACCGTGCAAGACCCTCATGGGTAGTCAAGGTGTATACCTCACATCTTCTTATGTCAAGAGTTTTGCTTTAAAATATAATTTTGATTTTCAAATTATGAGTTGAACAAGTAGATGTAGAATGTATGCCAAAAGTATCAGTCTGTTTCCTGCCAAGTACAGAACTATTCTAAGATCATAGTTTGTTTTTATGATGTAAATTGAATTGGAATCTCAGTGTGGACTCTTGCTGCATATCTTCTATAAAACATTGATATGTATTATCAACATCTATGTAACGTGTTTACTTGTTAATCTACATGTTATCAGGAACTTTGATGATTGAGAGATCTATTTTCCTTCTTTTTACCTGTTCATACACTGGTAACATTGCCAGTATATGACACATATAGGGAGCTTTATACTGTTACCATATCAATCAGAAATGGGGAAAGATGGGTTAACTGATGATGATTAAGATAAGACAACAATGCCCAGAAATGATTGGAATAATTCGTATATGATTGATTTGTATATATTTTTCTAAAAATATTAGAATGCTACTGGTACATGAGCTCTTTGGGGGATCCTTAGTAAATAAACTCATCATAGATACCGGGATTAAAATTTGTACACCAGAAGCATCTTTCGTCCACAGAAGAATCATCAATGACATCTGAATCAAAAAAGTAAAAAGCACAAAAAACAAATAACAAAAATACATAAGGTAAAAGTCTCATTGTCTATTATAAACACTGATTGCATTGATATTGTACAATGCACTAATATCTGTCTCCAATATTAGACAGGATTCATTTCATTGAAGCTTAGGTATAGGTACCAGTTTTTGTCTGTATAGGATTTTGATCAATATATATAATGTATGATTTTTTTCTGATCCTTCAGATATCCACCATTCTGAGCAATCTTTAAATGACACTGTAACTATTACTGGAACTGACACTCCAGATGATGTCATTATGGCAGACAGGCGACCTCAGAGGGCTGGTCGCAATGACAGTAAAAATCAGGTGACACAGGACGCCAAAAGGAGGTCTAGAAGTGAGGGTAGATTAAAGGGACGTAACTCTAGTAATAAAAAAGATGGGAACAGTTCAAAGGGAAGAAGTGGAAGTTACAGCAAGGAACCAGTTGATCAGCAGAGCAGGCATTCATTGTATAATGAGCCTCAATCAGATGAAGGAGGTTTCCCAGACATTAAAACTAGTTCAAGTGATTCGGAAGAAACACTTCAGAAAAAATGGATAAGGAATCCAAATATGGTTAAACAGGCTCGGAAAACTGAAAAAAGAAAATCACTTGGAAATAATTTAGAAAACGGGTATCATGGAAGACCAAATTACCTTGATCTTCAGGGAAATAAGGAAAATGTTGATCGGGGCTCACAAAAGGAGAAATATAAAAGATTGGAAGAAATGAGGAAAAAACGGGTTGACATAACAGTGACCTCAGATGAAGAACTAAATTCTCCAGAATTCAGGATTTCCAGATTACGTCAGCGAGCATTACAAGGAGCTAAATTATCATCAAAACTGCCAGATAGACTGGATGACTTTGATTTACAGAAAATCCATTTGGTTGGTAGATTATTGTTTGGAAAAATTACAATCATGATTTGCATGTATTAGTTGCTGAAGATTAAAGGGAGGGGATATTTAGAATGAATGAAGTAATATATGAGGTATGTGTCAATAAGACAGCAATCTAACAACACAATAAAGATAGAAAAGTCACTAATGGTAAAATGTACAAGTTATATGAAAATATGGAGATGTTTTTTAATTGACAATGAGACAACTATCCACCAGAGACAAGTTTATGTAGATTTAAACAACTATAGATCACTGTATAGCCTTCAGCAATGAGTAAAACCCATACCATACTATTAACCTGTAAAAGACCCATATTTGACAAAAAGTAATACAATTCAAACAACAAAAACAACAAACTAAAATGATAGACAGCAACCAACAATAACCACTTAATTACAGGCTCCTGACTTTCACTTTTTACTCCTGAGGTTTATTTTTAGCCATCTTACTGACAATTTAGATAAAATTTTTGTTTTATTAAAACAGGACTTAAACATAATGTAAATACAATGAAAAAAAATGTCCAATTATACCAGACCTGCCAACTATCCCCATTTATGGATATCCCCCATGAGAGGTGTTGACCTGAAATTTGAAAATCTTTATTGGATAAACTGAACGCCTCAAAACATGCATTCACGTGAGTTAAAAGGGTATTTAAGCAAATATATACTCATTCAAACAACATAGTAGTAGAGTAAGAATACTTATAACAATATAAGGGAGCATTAGGTCCTCTTGTGCTTCAAATCCTCCATTGAGAATTTGAAAAGTTGGCAGGTATTTTATACCATAAATCTGTTAAAAACATTCTCAAAATTTAGTATTAGCAAAGGATTAATGTGGAAATTTTGATAAAACATGTCCAGTTGCTGCAGGTTATGTATCAGTAGTGATACGTTAGAAAATGTTTTCTATCCTGCTGAGAAAACTGTACTCTTTGAAAATAAGATATTGATTTGATTTTCCGATTCTGACCAACCAACTCAATGGAGAATAAAAAAGATACATTATGGTTAAATAATATAACAGATGTGGGTTTTTTTAGAAATGTTAATTATAAATAACAGAAAATACTGTTATATTTGTGGAGCAAGTTTCAAGTACAGATGTAAGGGAGATAACTGCATGTTTTTTTTCAATCTCTTAAAAACATGGAATTTTGATCTTAAGAGAAATATAATTTCCTTTATAACAAATTGATGTAAAAGGTAAAAGTTTAAAACAAATTTAAACCCTTTATCAATGGGTCATTATTAAAGTAGGTTTGTCGTCATTGTGTATATAATGTTTCAACCTATTACCAGTATCTTAAATATCTGAATGTTGCTCATATCGTTTGCACCACAAATAAAATTCATCATTTGTAAATTGTACAGAAGAATCTGAAAACTAGATTGATAGCTAAAAAATGATATGCAAATTTCTACATACGATATGAACAAATGGAGATGTAGAAAAATGAGACAGCAACCAAACAACACAAACAAATTGAGTAGACATCTAGAAGTCAATACGCCATCTTCAACAATAAACATGCAGGGGTGGATCCAGCCATTTTTAAAAGAGGGGGTTCCAGCCATATGTCCCCATTCAATAGCATTGATCGTAAAAAAAAAATGAGTGTTCCAACCCCCAGAAACCCCACCCCCTGGATCTGCCACTGAACATGTGTCTATACCAGATGTATATCTCTAAACCACCCCCAGGCTAGGCAAGTTTGGAATAAATATACCTGATATCTTTAACAGGAGATAAGTTTATACATCAGTGAGACAGCTTATACCACTTAAACCAAAGAAAGACAATCAAATATAAAATAATATATAAATCGAAAATAAGCCCTATGCAAATATTTTACAGAATAAAAAGACACTTTTTTTCAATATTTATTTCTTTTGTAGGAAAGGCTTGCAGCAGAAATTCATCAAAATAAAGAAAATGAGTCTTCATCCACATCTGAACAAATTACATTAAGGCCTATTGGTCCAGGTCAAGGCAGTTTTTCATCACAGCTCATACAAGGGAATGTAAATAAACATCCAGATGACACTAGATTCACTCAGGATCACCGTAGTAACCAAAATATTCAGACATCAAATAAAGTGAGTCAAGGACAAGGACCATATAGAAAAATACCGAAACAGGAAACAAACTTTTCCAATTATAATCCACAGCCGACTGATGTAAATTACTATCAAGGAAAACCGCAGCCAATGACTTATTATCAAGGAAAACCAAACCAAGGACCTAACGGGGAATTTACATGGAATTTCCAAAATAATAATAATAATTTACATCAAAGTGGTTACTATGGAAACCAGGATAGTAATAGTAATGTGAAATCTAATTATATTGATTCTAAGCCTTATCAAGAAATTCCTGTAAAAAAGATAATTGAGAAAGGGAGAAATAAACGTAAGTCACATAGTGACGATTCTCTGGATGAATTGATTGAGTCAAACATTCAATATCTGGAAAGTGAAATGGAGAGTGGGAAATTAAAGAAGATTTCTGCGAGTCAACCGCGAATGTTTCCGACACAACAAAGTGATATTTATAACAAGGTCGAAAAACGAAGGTCAACTTCTTTAGACAGTACAAAGGCACCACGAGAAAGTGCTTTTCAAAATGAGGTCAAGTTAAGATTGCAAATACCTTCATCTAAAGAACAACAGCCTGATAACCATAGCATACAGTCAAGTCAGTACGATAGGTTATCATATAGTACGTCAGAGTCTAGTACACCACCGTCTGCATACACCTTACCGCCAAGTCAGGAATATATATTTCAAAATAGTGTCCCGAAAGTTGAAAGGAAATTCCAGTCTGCTTCTCACAGCCCTTATCTTCCTAGACGAACAACAGCCGAACTTTCAAATATGGAAGATATGTCGAAATCTGATAGTCAGTTAAATTGGGGAGAATTAGGGGTGAATTACACAAAAACGTTCAGAACACCAAACTATTTCCCTGAACAGAACCCAAATTATTATCCCCCACAAAAGTTTCCGCAGTCAAATCAAATTCCAAATATAATGAGCCTCTCAGCATCAGCTGTAGAGGGGGGAATGTTCTCAGATGTGGACTATGATATTGAAGTGACAGACCGAATTAAAAAGTGGGAAAAATTTATGAAAAAGAAAAACACTCCTCCAACATCGACTGAATCTAAATCTCCCGTTCCTCTGACAACTATTATGGAATCAGAAGGAGGCATTCCTGATTCATGGACTGCAAAAGTGCCCCCTAGTGTTGTATCTTCAATATCTGTTACAGTTACAAAATCTGTAGCTCATCAACCACAGCCACAGAGACAGTCAGTCACTGCCCCTGTACAAATGGAATCCAAAGTACAATCGGCAGAAACTAACGCACACCGTTTGTTTAGGGTTGTCCAACAACCAAAAATAGAACAAGAAAATGTAAGGACAACTTATGAACCTGTAAATATTCAAAAAAGAGCAAAAGTGATCAGGAGATCAAGTTCAAAAGAGTCAGATGGAGACAAAGGTCAAGGTGATGTTATTGAAGAGAATACAACTAAAGTTTGGCCACCAACTCCAAAAAATATGGAAGTGGAAGATGTGAAGCAGTCACGTTTGTCCAGGTTTGAGGAGGAGTTGTCAGAATTACAAGAAATTAAAAGTGAATCCGTGAAGGATCTACGTAGAAAATTTAATTCTGACGCTAGTGGTAACGAGAGTACTGACGTTACAGAAAATACAACTCCACTCATATCTACACCGTTACGTCAAAGACGACAGTATAAATTTACTGGAAATACTACCCAAAATATAGAGATTCAAAATCCTGTTCAGGTGGCAAAAGTATCCTCTATAAAAATACAGAAATCACAATCGTTACCAAGGACAAATATACACAGCTCATCACAAGCTGATACAAAATCTGATGTCTGGTCTCCTAAACTAGAGAGTGGTCAGGGACCAGTTAGTATAGAACGTGTTAAAGCTAGAACATTACAAACTATACCGTTCCATGAAGATCCTTTCTGGAAACAGATAGAGCAAATGACAAGCTTTGATGATCTGATTGCGGCTCAGAATGTAGATGGCAGTGAAACATTTGTTGTAAGAAATAGTCAAGCTTTCCAGTTTCCTGTACAAGAGTTGTCTCCACCTAACAGATCACAAGAGTTGTCTCCACCTGTTAACCAAACTCACTCATGCCCATCTTATGCTCCAACAATTGTAACTTCTACTCGACCTGTTCAAACAGCTTCTACAACCATTCAACCAAAACCTAAAGTCTTTCATACTCCAACAATTCAGCCACTTAAATTAGCTGTGGCTGCAAAAAGTAGTATTGAGGCTCTAGACGAGGTACTTGATGATATACGATCTTCTTTACAGAAGAAAACACCAGCACCACAGAGAAATCAGGCTGTGGACAGCTCAGCTTCTTCATCCTCCGTTCATTCGCCAAATGTGCCAAAAAATATCGTTAGAAATATACCGATTGAAAAAATAAAGCAAAATAATATCCAAACAAACGCTGGTCAGCATGTTAGTCAGAAATATTTTGATCAACAGAGAAATCTCATGGTCCCTCAGCAGCAAAAGCAGACTAACAATCCTCAACAAAATGTTCAGTGGATTTACCCAACTTATCAACAAGTAGCTCATTCTCAAATGAAAAGTCAGCCACAAACAGGTCAACAAAGGATAAATCATGTGCACCCTAGTTCCCAGATACCAAATCAGGTGCACCCAAGTTCACAGATGCCAAACCAGGTGCACCCAAGTTCACAGATCCCAAATCAGGTGCATCAGATACCATTTACTCAGAACACATCACATCAAAATTGGAAAGGGCAACACTTATATAAGTCATCAAATCAACAGAATCCAAATATTAACCAATCAAATCAATTTAATCAAAATATTAACCAATCAAATCAAAATATGACTTTTTATCAAAATAATCAACAAATTCCAATTAATCCAGACATAACACAATTTCCTTATATAATTAATGGAAATTATCAGCTTGATCCATCAGTATTGAAAGAGAGGCTGATGAACACTGGTCTGGCATTTGACCAACAATCAGAAACTGATGATACTCTAAGTCAGAAATCTGTCGCATCAAGTTTTGCCGATACTGAAAAACAATTCAACCAATCAATAGAAGATTTACAAAACCTGGCTCGGGATGTGGAAGATAAGTTGTCTCAGATTAAATGTAAAATTGTGGATGCGGACGAAAATAGATTGGATTCCATTTTATCTGCACTCAGGAAATTTGCCCCAACAGAACCTGTAAAAACTCCCCCTAATATCCATACCAAAGAAGAACAAGACCGACAAAGGGCAAAGTTAAATGAGGCGTTGACTGAACTTGATAGGATATATTATGGTCTACATCTGGACGATCCCAAACTAACAGAACCGACAATGGACTCTATGAGTCACAGTCAGACTTTGCCTTCCCAAGGACATCATATACCCCTTGCACAGATACGTAGGAACAAATCAGATTCCGGTTTTGGACATTATCAAGAAGACACTGCAGCACAGATCGATCAACAAACACAGAAAGAATTTGATGACATAACAAAGTCATTTCAGACATTGTTAGATGAAGTTTCGAAAGATGATACACCATCTAAACCTTCCCATCATGCAGCAGAGATTGAAACCACTATTGAGTCCTTTCTTGATGAATTTCGTAAAAGTTCTGATAATACGGCCGATAAAAATATCAGTCAAAAGTTTGAAAGTAAATTGAAGGATGCTAAAATGGCTACAAAGCCAAACACATGTCGTGATGTTCAAAAGTCAGAAGTGTTTACCGTCAGTTCAGGCTCTTTTTCTGCATTAGTTGGTGTCAAAAATAAAAAGAATGGAGACAACCAATCAAAAACAAACTTTAAAAATACACAAACAAACACTGTTGCAAATTACCGTGGACCTGTCACAGTAAAACCTAAGACTGCTACAGATTTTGTGCAGAAATCGAAATCTGTGCCTGGTTTTAAGCAGAAATTGAAAACTACATCAAATTCTGAGCCAAAAGTTGTTAGTAGTACAGCAAATATTAAGTTAGTAAGCCCACAAAGGGAGATAAAAGTAATTAAAACAAGTGGGAGTGAATCGGAGGACGTGTCTGATGGTCATTTTGTACGTAAAGCTAAACGCAATGTCAATCTTCAACACAGGAAATCAATGCCAGCTTGTATGATTCAACGGACAGTAGAAACACAGACAAATGCTCCGTCGTCTCCTCCTGTGGCAGTACTAAGGAGAAACTTTCAGTCTAAAGATCGACAATCAAGGGAAGGTTCAGAATCAAGTGAGAGCTCAGCAGAGTCGAGAAGAGCTCGTAGAAAGACAATAACAAAAGGGATAGCTCTACTCATGGAGTTCTTCAGTTCCAGTGAGGATGAGCGAAGTCATAAGTCTAATCTGGATCATTCAACAAGTGCTCCTGACTTACGCTACGTTGGTTGTGAAAAGATGACCAAATCTACAAGTGACAACGATAAATTCAAAGGGAAAGCTAAACACAGCAGACAAAAACATGGAACGAAAACAAAGAATCGGTCGTCATATATCAAGTTTGACAATGTTGATGATAAAATTGATGACTTTTACGTAACTTCTACAACGTCTGACGACAATGTGCAATCAACACACGGATCAAAACCTCCAAGGCATCCGAAACGTAAACAGTCTGCAACAAGTCCGGAAAAGGTTGATGAAAATAAAAAAGAAGATAAAGAATCTGAGGAAGTTAGTCCATCCAATGTAGAACGTTTTAATAAAACTGATTTTGTTGTTAGAAGGAAAAAACGTCAGGACAACGAAGAACAAGAAAGACCTCACAGTTTTCATGAACTACTTGCAGCATTTGAACCTAATCCTTTAAAGTTGAAGAAATTAAGGAAATGTTCTTCTGCAGAAGCCATGCTGCAAGATACTACGGCCATTAATAAAATATTTACATCCAATCCAGATTTAAGAAAGGACTCTGAATTCAATAGTGGTGACTCTGCTGGTGCTAAACTAGAACAGGAAGTAAAAGATACTGCTGTATGATAGTTAATGCATTCTGGGTAATATATTTGAGATCATACAACAAAGAGCTGAACAATCTTAAATGATGGATATTTTACCAATAGTGTAAAGCTATTTTTATTTTAGTTTACTTACTAAAAGTATATGCATAGTACATTAGACTCTGAAATAGTAAATATTTCTGATATCAGGCCTAAATTTAAAATTTGTGATTCCTCCTCCCCCCCCTGATTTTTCAGAGTAGACCAGGCGTGCAGGCAGGATATATTTTTTTGTTTTTATTTTTAAAGTACTTATAAGGGCAAAATATTGGATATTGGATCTTTTTTTCAAAGCGTGCAGTGGGGAGGGGAAACAATCTAAATATATATTTTGGCCTCAGTCATCATGATGATTAATAATTTTTCAAAATAAAAACCTTATGAGAGCCCCTTTATATCCCTTAAAAAAGCAAAAAAGAGATGCTTTCTCTGTCAACAGGTTAAGGGACGGAGGATAACATTGGGGTTTTCAAGTATTCTGAGTCATGCCTTTATTTTCAATACATTTTAAAGACTTTGATAAATGCTTCAGACTGATTGAGGATAAGAAGTAATTTATATTAAACCACAAAAACAGAAATTTTAACAGTTTTGATGTTTGCTATTTTATAAAATGCATCTCCATTAATATACATTGGAACTACTTTTAAGACTTCTGAACAGTTATCTGAAAGTTGTTTAAAATGATGTATATCAAAATCTTCAAAATTAATCAGCAACTTTTTTTTTAATTTCTATCTTTGATTAAAATTTAGTTTATCTGATCTTTAGAAATAGACTGATGTTATATTTATTTTTATGCTGTGATTAATTCTACGGTGATATGTTGGTGCTATGATATTTTGTATAATGGTAATTTTTACTGGCATTTTACATTTTTTTTGAATTTATTAGTTTATAGATAACAATGTATTTAAAGACTATTGATAATTATAGGATCTGTCAAATTTATTGATTACACATATTCATAAATAGGTGTGCCAAATTTTTATTTTGTTTTTGATTGTGTTTCATGATTTCTGTGCCAAAAAAAATATAGGAATTATCTCCCTTTGTACAATGTTTGATATAAACGAGCAGCAAGCTGTGTTATGAACAACACAGTTTAGTTTAAATTTGTATGATAATGTATGTTTAAATTTTTATATTTTACTTGTTTATGAAATAAGCCTGCTTAAATCTTTATAATGTACTTATATGGATAAAAAGAATTTCTTTTAAAAAAAAAGTAATAAGAATTCTGTATGTTGACCAAATATGAAACTTTAGTGTTAATGATTTTACTTTCAGGCTAGTTTTGGTATGATTAGGTCATTTGATTGGTTAAGGAGGCCTTAGTTTAATTGACCACAATATATTGAACTATTAATCAATATAAGATTAATTCATTATTATTTTTTATAAGAAAAGGTCTACAAGGCAGGCTTTTATATTCAACACAAATTTAATGGCCAGTCATAATAAGTTTTAGAGAGTTAAAATGAATAAAACTTTCTGACCACTCCCAAAACAATTTTTTGGAACAACCCCAAATGATGCAGTTTTTTGAAAGGGCTAAACAAAAATGTTATGCCCATACTGTGCATAGGTATGATTAATTTCTGTAATTACATTTTCGAAATGAATATTCAAATTGTATGAATGATTTCAGTATACTATGATTTAGTCTCCAAAGGAAATGTGCAATGTTATTTATGAATTTAAAGGTTGTAAATTTTATGTGTTCATTATAACGGTGCAATGTTTATTTATGTGCTCTGACATTTTATAAGTCATATACAAGGAATATTATATGTATTTTTTTCTTTCAACTAGGTCTACTATACTTTTTAAAGTGTTTTTTCTGTTTTTGATTTTTTCTTTAAATTAGTTTTGGTAATGTTCCAGAGTAACCTCCCTTTTCAACATTACATTAGAGTTTATAATAATTTGCAAAAATAATTTTGATTGATTAAGGTTTCATTACACTAGTGATATACTTGTCACTGACCATTAGGTAACCAATAATCATTGTTAGTAAAAAATGACAGACAGCAAATAATGTTCAAAATTCCCTTAATTCAAATACAAACCAGAACTGTACAGTTACTCTTAAAGGGGTAAATTCAGTAACAAATCTCCCATTGACTGTAATGCTAATCTATGTATTGAATTAAATTTATACCTGATTTACCTTTAGAAATCACAGGCTTTCATATATCATTCATTAAAGTAAAAAAGTAGCCCCATCTTTTGCAACAATAAAAACATAGGGTCATGCGGCATTTTTAGGCATTCACATGGCCTTGTTTACAAACAGTGTAGATTCACACTTAATTCCATTACTGACCCCATTACTTTTCAACCCTGTAGTAAAAAAATTTAGTGCATACAGCATTCATTTTTTGATTTTTTTTAACTCTAGTTTTGATCCATCTATCAAAAGATATTTATTACAAACATTATCTACCAATCAGAAGAGCACAGGACTTCAGTTTTGTACAGAAAGCTCTACCCCAAATGGGCGGTCCCTGATGACATATTTATTTACTGAATTTACCCTTAAAGAGTGTTTGTTGAATGCTGGTAGCTTCTGTACATTACTTAACTTCAATAGCTGCTGTAGGGATGTTTATTTTTGTAAGGGAGTAAGAAGTTAAAAGACACTTTGAAATCCTTTTGATCCGTCCAGAAACATTTTATTTTTTTTCATTTTTATATCTTTTTTCCCTTATTCGAAACAACAAATTGTGACCTGAAATGATTTGTTTTAAAATTTTTAATTGAGTTTTGTTTTATTTTCTTGCTTTGTATTTGCTATTTTGTTTTCAGTTTAGTTTTTAATTGTACTTAATTGTTATGTATTTTTGTTAAAACATTGAAAGTTGATGCATGAATCATTAGATGGATACATTGTACATGCACATTTTTTATTTAAGGTCAAATGTTAATCTTCGGTCAGGTTTCTCATTTGACCATTGAATATTCAAATCATTGGGAATATTTTTTTTACTTTGAAAGTAAAACTTTAATTATTGTTAAGATATTTTTCTAATTCTATATTTGATGATTTTAATATTGAACTATCTTGAGGAAAATTGATCCCTTATGTAATCTTAATTTTAAAGACATTGAGGGACAGAAAGGTCTTTTTGGGGATATCAGGATTGGGCCATAATTTTCAGGAAAGGGAATTAATGATAAATTTTTTCGGGATCCAAGAAAGAATGCTTTATTTTTTTCAGGAAGTTAGGGTTCGGCTTTTTTTTCAGGGAAATGACACCCCCTCCAATCCCCCCCTCATTATAGGAATTGGACATTGAAAGTCAGTAATAATATTGGAAATTAATCAGAATTTTGTTGAATATAATAAAGGTATCCGACTGCTCTAAAATGATCTGAAATGTATATTTATTATTCTTCAGTAACATTGGTATGTGTATTTTTTTATGACAAAATTGCTGACTTTCCTAATGATAAATCATAGAAAATATGTATACAATTATTGCTTCTGAGCAACATAAGGTTAATATTATTTATAGCAAGTATTGGATGTAAAAGTAGAATGTATTTGTCATGAGCAAAGAAGCATAGTTCAAATTAGATCAGGGCTGTTCCAAAACTGTTTTGGGGGGAGGGGGAGGAATGTGAGGCATTCAAATTAACTTTGTTTGTGGGTGGTTGCATTTTCTGAGAATTTTGTTAGAATAATACATGATTAAAATGAAAAATTTAAATATTATAGGTGGTTAGGGTCTAAAAATGGTGCCTACCATTCCCCCCCCCCCCCCCCCCCCCTTTTCCTTGCATTTAGTTTCAGGAACAGACCTTATCTCCTGTGTACCAGCAAAAATAGAAACTAAAGAATAAGTGAACATATGCTCCATCACCCATTACAAATGTATTATACAAATGTCTGATAAATCCGATACTTAGGTGAAGAATAAATTACGTTGCTTCTCAGGACATCTCAAAAAAGATTAAAAAAAATTATTGGTGCTAATTTCTTCATGTGTGATACTATGGATTCATAATTATTCGTTGGATACCAATTTTCGTGTATTTTATGGGTACAGGGGAACCACAAATTTAAATGTTCAACGAATAACAAATTTTCTAAAGGAATTTATGCAGACTTTGCTAAAACCATGAAATTAAATATCCACGAAAATGCAAGTTTTCCTCAATCCATGAAAATTGGTACCAACGAAAATAAATGAATCTACAGTACTCAAACTGACTAACTATTTAAATGTAGGCCAGAATGCTATACAATTTAACTTTAAAAGTAACTTACTATTTGTGCATAGGCAGAAATACTGACTTATTTTGGATATGTGACAGTAATGCTGACTTACTTTGAATATGTGACATTAATACTGACTTATTTTGTATATGTGACAGTAATACTGACTTACTAATTATGTGCAGGCCAAAACGCTGACAATGTATTGCTTATACATTTATAATACTCAAAATGTGCCAAATATCTTATTGATAGACAAATAGAAAAAAAAATAAACTTATTTGATATTTTAATGTTTTTTCTTCATCATTTAAAATGTTCTGTTAAAATTAAGGGATGCCGCTAGTGGCGCAAATTTACAAATAAAAATTAAAAATGGTTCTATACAACTTGAAACCTTACTGTTACTTTATTGTATTCGTGGGGTATCAATTTACATAGATTTTGTTGTCAAAGATCAAATGTTCAACGCAATTACAAAATGAGTTCTATGCAGAAAAAACAACGAAATGACAAAACACTAGACAGAAAACTAATAAAGATTGAGCCACTTAAACTCTATCAAAAACCTAGGATGAACTCAGTTAAACTTCAATTAGATTTTCGAAAAACACCTCTCTGTCGGAACTCAATTTAGTGATGACTTAGAATCCACATACTGTCTATCCTTCCCCTTTCAGGTTAAAATTTGGGTTAAGATAGTTTGTGGTCACATCAACTTGAAACTTTGTTTACAGGTTTATTATGAAAATGAGTTGTTTAATATATGTCATATTAAGGTTTGGGGCAAAATTTCCTGATTCCTGAAACATGGAAATGTGACAGTGTGAAGGGGGCATGGTGTTCCTATGGACACGTGAAATGTGACAGTGTGAAGGGGGGCATGGTGTTCCTATGGACACGTGAAATGTGACAGTGTGAAGGGGGGCATGGTGTTCCTATGGACACGTGAAATGTGACAGTGTGAAGGGGGGCATGGTGTTCCTATGGACACGTGAAATGTGACAGTGTGAAGGGGGGCATGGTGTTCCTATGGACACGTGAAATGTGACAGTGTGAAGGGGGGCATGGTGTTCCTATGGACACATGAAATGTGACAGTGTGAAGGGGGGCATGGTGTTCCTATGGACACATGGAAATGTGACAGTGTGAAGGGGGGGGGGGGGCATGGTGTTCCTATGGACACATGAAATGTGACAGTGTGAAGGGGGCGTGGTGTTCCTATGGACACATGGAAATGTGACAGTGTGAAGGGGGGCATGGTGTTCCTATGGACACATGGAAATGTGACAGTGTGAAGGGGGGCACGGTGTTCCTATGGACACATGAAATGTGACAGTGTGAAGGGGGCATGGTGTTCCTATGGACACATGAAATGTGACAGTGTGAAGGGGGGCATGGTGTTCCTATGGACACATGAAATGTGACAGTGTGAAGGGGGGCATGGTGTTCCTATGGACACATGGAAATGTGACAGTGTGAAGGGGGGCATGGTGTTCCTATGGACACATGGAAATGTGGTGTTCCTATGGACACATGAAATGTGACAGTGTAAAGGGGGGCATGGTGTTCCTATGGACACATGAAATGTGACAGTGTGAAGGGGGCGTGGTGTTCCTATGGACACATGGAAATGTGACAGTGTGAAGGGGGGCATGGTGTTCCTATGGACACATGGAAATGTGACAGTGTGAAGGGGGGCACGGTGTTCCTATGGACACATGAAATGTGACAGTGTGAAGGGGGCATGGTGTTCCTATGGACACATGGAAATGTGGTGTTCCTATGGACACATGAAATGTGACAGTGTAAAGGGGGGCATGGTGTTCCTATGGACACATGAAATGTGACAGTGTGAAGGGGGCGTGGTGTTCCTATGGACACATGGAAATGTGACAGTGTGAAGGGGGGCATGGTGTTCCTATGGACACATGAAATGTGACAGTGTGAAAGGGGCATGGTGTTCCTATGGACATATGAAATGTGACAGTGTGAAGGGGGCATTGTGTTCCCATGGACACATGAAATGTGACAGTGTGAAGGGGGGCATGATGTTCCTATGGACACACGAAATGTGACAGTGTGAAGGGGGCATGGTGTTCCTATGGACACATGAAATGTGACAGTGTGAAAGGGGCATGGTGTTCCTATGGACACATGAAATGTGACAGTGTGTAGGGGGCATGGTGTTCCTATGGACACATGGAAATGTGACAGTGTGAAAGGGGCATGGTGTTCCTATGGACACATGAAATGTGACAGTGTGTAGGGGGCGTGGTGTTCCTATGGACACATAATCTTGTTTGGACTATTGTAACACAACAACACCTACTGAAAACAACTCCTCTAGTATTAAAAATAAGGAGATGTGGTATGATTGCCAATGAAACAACTATCTACCAGAGTTCAACTGACGTGGATAGAAATACATGTTCGGAAACAAAATTATGATGTTAATAATTTTTCCACAACTATTACAAAGGTATAATGTATATTGTCAATTATAGAGGTGGTCATTCAAAAACAATACTCATTGGTAAGTATTAAATAGCAGATATGGCTCAGAGCTTATCACATTACATGGTAAGAAGGTCAGATGAGAGATAGCGTAATATGTCAAGTTAAGATCACTTGTTTTCTTTTAGACCGTTGCATTTTTATACGACCGCAAAAATTGAAAATTTTTTGGTCGTATATTGGTATGACGTTGGCGTCGTCGTCGTCGTCGTCGTCGTCGTCGTCTGGCGTCGTCCGGCGTCGTCCGAAGACACATTGGTTTTCGCACTCTAACTTTAGTTTAAGTGAATGGATCTCCATGAAATTTTACCATAAGGTTCAATACCACGAAAGGAAGGTTGGGATTGATTTTGGGGGTTATGGTACCAACAGTTAAGGAATTAGGGGCCAAAAAGGGGCCAAAAATAAGCATTTTTGTAACTTCCAGACAATAACTTGTGTGTAAGTGTATGGATCTCTGACATTGTACCACAAGGTTCCATATCACAAAGGGAAGGCTGTAATTGATTTTGGGGGTAATTGCCTCAAAATTTTAGGAATTAGGGGCAAAAAAAGGGGCAAAAAACAAGCATTTTTCTAGTTTCATGACAATAACTTGTGTGTAAGTGTTTGGATATTTCTGAAATTGTACTACAAGGTTCCATATCACAAAGGGAAAGCTGGAATTGAGTTTGTGGGTAATTGCCCGAAACGTTTAGGAATAGGGGGCCAAAAAGGGGCCAAAAATAAGCATTTTTCTAGTTTCCAGACAATAACTTGTGTTCAAGTGTATGGATCTCTCTGAAATTGTACTGCAAGGTACCATACCACAAAGGGAAGGCTGGGATTGAGTTTGGGGGTGATGAATCATAAGAGGGTTCAAAAAATTTGGGGGGGGGATTTTTTTTTTTTCTTTTTTTTTCTTTTTTTCCTTTTTTTTTTTCTTTTAAAATTTTCCATTTTAAGTTGGTTATTTCTGATTAATATTTAAAAGCAAATAATAATGATATGGTAGGAGATACACACCAAACAGGATGTGTAAATTATTATATAATTTTCAATTGCACAGTATTGCACAATTGCAAGAAATCTTCAATTGCACAGTATTGCGCAATAGCAAGAAATCTTCAATTGCACAGTATGGCGCAATAGCAAGAAATATCCAATAGCACAATATTGCGCAATAGCAAGAAATTGTCAATTGTACAGTATTGCACAATAGCAAGAAATATTCAATTGCACAGTATTTGTGCAAAAGAAGATACTTCGTATAAATTGCTTATTTCTTGATCAATTTCAATGGGGTTTTATTCTTGAATTATTGGGGTTCTTTATAATGCTGAATCTAACCAAGTATTAAGTTTTTGGATTTTGGGCCCCGTTTTTAAATTGGTCCACATTGAGGTCCAAAGGGTCCAAAATTTAACTTTGTTTGATTTCATCAAAAATTGAATTATTGGGGTTCTTTGATATGCCGAGTCTAACCGTGTATTTAGATTCTTAATTTTTGGTTCCGTTTTCAAATTGGTCTACATTAAGGTCAAAAGGGTCCAAAATTAAACTTAGTTTGATTTTAACAAAAATTGAATTTTTAGGGTTCTTTGATATGCTGAATCTAAACATGTATTTAGATTTTTGATTATGGGCCCAGTTTTCAAGTTGGTCCAAATCGGGGTCCAAAATTAAACTTTGTTTGATTTCAACAAAAATTGAATAAATGGGGTTCTTTGATATGCTGAATCTAACCATGTATTTAGATTTTTGATTTTTGGGCCCCATTATCAACTTTGTCCACATTGAGGTCAAAAGGGTCCAAAATTAAACTTTGTTTGATTTCATCAAAGATTGAATTCTTGGGGTTCTTTGATATGCTGAATCTAACCATGTATTTAGATTTTTTATTTGTGGACCCGCTATCAAATTGGTTCATATTGAGGTCAAAAGGGTCCAAAATTAAACTTTGTTTGATTTCATCAAAAATTGAATTATTGGGGTTCTTTGATATGCCAAATCTAACCGTGTATTTAGATTTTTAATTTTGGGTCCCGTTTTTAAATTGGTCTACATTAAGGTCCAAAGGGTCCAAAATTAAACTTAGTTTGATTTTAACAAAAATTTAATTCTTGGGGTTTTTGATATGCTGAATCTAAACATGTGTTTAGATTTTTGATTATGGGCCCAGTTTTCAAGTTGGTCCAAGTTGGGGTCCAAAATTAAACTTTGTTTGATTTCAACAAAAATTGAATATATGGGGTTCTTTGATATGCTGAATCTAAACATGTATTTAGATTTTAGATTTTTGGCCCAGTTTTCAAGTTGGTCCAAATTGGGGTCCAAAATTAAACTTTGTTTGATTTCAACAAAAATTGAATATATGGGGTTCTTTGATATGCTGAATCTTACCATGTATTTAGATTTTTTATTTGTGGGCCCGCTATCAAATTGGTTCATATTGAGGTCAAAAGGGTCCAAAATTAAACTTTGTTTGATTTCATCAAAAATTTAATTATTGGGGTTCTTTGATATGCCAAATCTAACCGTGTATTTAGATTTTTAATTTTGGGTCCCGTTCTTTGATATTGGTCTACATTAAGGTCCAAAGGGTCCAAAATTAAACTTAGTTTGATTTTAACAAAAATTGAATTTTTGGGGTTCTTTGATATGCTGAATCTAAACATGTGTTTAGATTTTTGATTATGGGACCAGTTTTCAAGTTGGTCCAAGTTGGGGTCCAAAATTAAACTTTGTTTGATTTCAACAAAAATTGAATATATGGGGTTCTTTGATATGCTGAATC